TCCCCCCCCCCCCCCCCCGCCGCTACCGCTGAGGCCCCTGGGTGGGAGCGGCCTGGGCTCGGTGGCCGCCGCGGCCCGGGGGGAACCGCCTGGCTGTGCTGCCCCGAGAGGGTCACCGCCGCCCGGCCTTGCTGCCCCGAAGGAGCCCCCCGTCTCGCCAGCCCCCAGGCAGGAACCGCCCGGCCTTGCTGCCCCAAGCTGCCTGGCGTTTGCTCAGCTTGGTGGTGGTTCGACCAGGAGCAAAGCCCAGTGCGGCCGGTCCCGTCCCTCCACTTAATATCGGGATGATCTCTGTACTGTAGAGGGTATCATGGGGGATGCAGCAGCTGCTACCATGCAGGTTTCCTATTTAAGCTGCTGTGCGTGTTTTTATCTCTTCCCTTCCCCAGCATCTTAACTTCTGTGTTGCAGTCTTTTTCAGAAAACTTTTTCCTAGTGCCTGGAGAGGTGAAAGGTAACCACAGTCAAGAAACCCCTCTACCTTACACTTCTGTCACTGCTGTCCGCTTTGTCTCTTTCTTTTTGCTCCTAACTCTCATTTCTGTTGCACCGTGTTGGTGCTAGGTTGTAAGTTCTTTGAAGCAAAGGTGTGGTCTGTCTTCTCTGTGAGGTGACTTCCCCTTTTTTGGTTTGAAAACAAGTGAATTGCTGCTTTCATTAAGTCCCTTTTGATTTTCTAGGCGGTCAGTGCGTTAGCTGGAGTTCAAGACCAGCTCATTGAGAAGCGTAAGTCACTTCTTCATTTCTCTCTGAACACAACTAACTTGGAAAGAATTAAACTTCTTCTGGATCCACTGTGAACTTGCCATTCCATTAGAGCACTCCCCTTTTGGGGACCAACATCTGGTCCTCTTAGGCGAGCTTCAGAGTACTCCCAACACATTCTCTAACTATAAAAGTCAAGAAAGTGGCCGTATGAGAAACATTACAAGTAAAGCTGAGCTGCCTTTCTTGAGTAAGCTTTTATCTTTAGTATATGTTTCAAGGATTCATTGTGTATAAAGTTTATTTAAATACACTTGGTGCTCTTTGGAGAAAGAGTCTGGAGGAGCTAAAGGAATGCATTTTTTGTTTGTATATCTTTCAGTAAGTTGTAAGTGATTATGGGCAAAGTTGAGTGCTCCACGTTCAGATATTCTACAATCTGTTGCGAGCTCTGTTTAGCTCTCTCCTGAGTCAGTCTTGCTCTGAGTGCAACTCTGAAACCATTATGTGCTGGTCAGATAGCAGTGCTGGGTTTCCAGTGCTTAGAACTTAAAACTTTAGTTCTCATAGTTTTTTCCCTAGTGCTTTGAGGTTATTAGCCACTTATGCTCAGGTTTCTAAAAGACATGTTTGTAGTTGATATCAAATCAGATGCAATTCTAGTGTGCCTCAGTCGCTAAGGAGGTAGCTTGGTGTTGTATGGCTCAGCATGCCCTTGGTGCCCTATGCACCTTTGTTGGGGGTTGCTCCGTTTGCTCAGGGCTCCCTGTGGGTTCAGGGACTCTCCAGGCCTGGGATGTGCGCTGCGGGGAAGTAACCATTGTGCTCCTCTGTGTTTGTCATGCTCTAGGGGAGCCAGGCAGTGGGACAGAAAGTGACACTTCTCCAGACTTCCACAATCAAGAGAATGAGCCTAACCAGGAGGATGCTGAAGAGCTGGATGGATCTGTGCAGGGGGTGAAACCCCAGAAAGCTGCTTCCTCTACTTCCTCTGGGAGCCACCACAGCAGCCACAAAAAAAGGAAGAACAAAAATCGACACAGGTTAGTGGTACCAGCAGCCTTCTTGTCATGCCTTGTGAGTGGCTAGTTGTTGAATTGACCAAAAACCACCAAAGAAATAGTAATTTGGAAAGGAGCTAGTAATTTGCTAAAGTAACGAGCAGCTCAGGGCACCTCTTTGTTGTGGTAATTTCTTTTGTTATTAAGTTGCATGCATCCTGTAGTATTCATCAGGATCCCATTGCTCCCATCGCAATCAAGGAGGGGAAGGCATGCTAAAGTAGCTAAAACAAGCTGTCTGCATAGGCTACTAATTCCAGCTCCGATACAGCTGCACTTGTGACTGGGCCTTTTCAATTCTCCTACCTATCAAGGAGAATAAAACTGTTTTCCCTTTCTATAGAGGAAGATAATAGTTGTAGCTTCCTGTAGCTTGTTGGTTTCTGCACAACTCAGTAAGAGAGGAATATCACTACGCTTTTCGGGGAAGGAGGTGAAAAAGCAAATCGGAATGTTTGGGGCATTATGGACAGCCCCACATTTTCACTGAGATTTTCACTCCAAACCCTTTCTGTTTGTTGTCCCTAACTGAGTCTCTTTACCTTTAGCTTATGAGAGCTGCTTTGTTTGTCACAAACCTTAAGGTATGCCTGTACGGCGTGGTACAGCCTAGCAGGCTGATGGCTTGGGCATCAGAAATAATCTGTTTTACAGTGGTATTCTCTCTGGGCTAACATACCCTGCTTCTTACCATGCCTCAGCACCCCACAGTAAGAGCTTGCTCAAGAATTTCTATAGAGTATGATAATGTGCTGTGGGGACATGCCCTTAGAAACAGAAATACCTGCAAATGTGTCCTTTTGGAAAGAAGAGACAGGCTTACTTTAGAGCTGTGCCTCTCTGGAAATGATTGCTGTAACTGATACCTAAAGATTATTAGAAGTGAAGAAGATCAATCAATCAATAAATAAATAAATAAAACCCATTCCTTCTACCTGGAGCTGGTTGGCTCTGTGTATGGACAGGTTTCCCTCACTGAGGGAGCTTTCCATGCAATTGCAGGAGAGAGAAATGTTTTAAAGGGCAGTGGTAAAAACTCATTAAGATTGCTGGGGGAAAATTCATTTGGGAGATACAGAGGTAGGTATAGTGCTTGCAAACTGTTTAACTGCCTTTTCTCCTTAATTAGGCTTTGAATCATTGGCATGTCTTTAATTCTTAGATCAGGTTTTTCTTCCTACAGTCTTAATTGGGCAAACATCCTAAAATATTGGATGTCTTCTTTGATTCCTCATAAACTAGGAATCCTAAGCAGTTTAAACCTTTTCTTTTTTTTGCCTGTAGACAATTGGAAAGAAGTTCAGGGGTAACACAAAACATTCCATCTGTAAGCAAGTTCAGAGAAACAACCTGTAAAACTGAAGTACAACAGAAGAAAACTGCTTTTTTCAAACAAATTAGAAATTATTCTACTAAATGCTTATGTGGACAACAAACAAACCAATCCACTGCAGCTGTGTTACAAATGCTGTAAATAACACACGTTCTTTTGCTCCATTACGTAACCCAAACTTTGGCAACAGGAGTTAGAAAGAAACTTCCCTACTGAAAGGTTATGTTGCTTTGGGGTTTCTTGTACGTTCCGTCCACTGAAGCAGCTGATGCTGGCTACTGTTGGAGACAGAATATTGGACATGAGGAGCCCTGATCTGATCTGGTATGGCAATTATTATCATCCTAAGAGATACATCAGACAAATCTAAATTATGGACAGTCTTTTGCAATTAATAACTGATTATTCTGTAATGCTTAGCATGGCCAGATAATGAAGGTGACCAAGTTTGTCTTTAGTAAAAACACTGTTAAAATTGTGATTGCTCTTACTAACTATTCCCTAAATTTCAGCACAAAGGACCAAACAATTTTCAAGTATATCTAGGTTAAAAAGAAAACAGTTCCTATCTACTGAAAGTATAACTGCTTTAAAATGTTTTGCAGCCTGGAGTGCTCTTTGGAAACAGACCTGCCTGTCTGTTCCTTGACTGTCATGTAACAAAAAAAACAAAACAAAAAAAAACTTGGCGGTTCCCTTTATGGCAGGTCTCATTCAGAATCTCTTCCGTTGGCTTGCATAAAGTTGGGTTTTGCTCCCCTCTTCCTGAAGGGAACGGGAAACTTGAAGGTGCACTGACTCCACCTGTAAATAGCTTAGATTTTTCTCCTTGGTACGTGACCAAGCAGCAGTGTTGAAAGGTGGCTTCAGAGTGGGCAGAACTCTGAGTATGCAGTTTGGTTTCTAGTTAGAAGCAAGGAATCAGATGGAAGTTAGAGTGTTCTTGCTGAAGTCATCCTCAGTTCCCTCTGGGACTGCAAAGGCCAAGATGATTATTTTCTATGTGTTCAGTTACTTTCATGGCTAAAAATTTCAGGAGGAAACACTACTGCTGCCTCTTAGAAATTCACTACTGAAAAGGTACTAAGTTACAGATGTTTTGATGATGATAAATCCTTTCTAACAAATACAGTTGTTAGCTTTCAGGAAGAACTGTTTGTAAAGACAGTGTTGTGGAATCAGTGTGAATGCGAAGACAACCTGTGGAAATGTAACTGAACTGTAATTGGAATCAGCCAATTCACTATGTTATCTTTTTCACTTTCTAAACAAAGCGAGTGTAAGAGAATGTGTGTGTGTGCGCATTATGAGAATATTTGAATGCATAGTTGTCCACATAGCTTTATGGTTGTCTCCACCTATCTGCCTGAACAAGCTTTGCTTTGCCATAATAGCCTAGACAAAGCCACTGCTTTCTGACCACCCATTTGTTTGTTTTTGCAAGCAAATCAGTTTTTTTTCCTCTGCCTGTGAGCTAGTGTGCACTTCCAAGTATTTGATAGCTTCCTTTTTCTGCACATAAAATTTCCTCCATAAAACCACTCTGCCTCTGTTTTAACACCTTTTGTTTTTTTTTTTTTTCCCCTGGTAATCAAATTGGGGAGGGGGACTCTGGATTGCTAAATCTGGAGTGCTTTTTGTGCCCAATTCTGGTTAAGATATTTTAAGAACTTTATGGCATTTGAACACTGGCTTTATTTTTTTTTATTTTTATTTTTTTTTAGTAATCTCGCTAGGGTGGCTAATCAACTAATTTATTTAATTCATTAGTATATTAATTTCTATTGCTTTCTTCCTTTCAAATGCTGCCCCTCAGCCCGTCTGGCATGTTTGATTATGACTTTGAGTAAGTTTGACTTGAATTAGTACTTGTGCTGTGTTGTTAGTGTGTAGACACCAATGTGCCTTTTGAGACCTTTCTAACCCATAGTTTATCTGTTTAATTGTAGGTATGTATATTAGGTTAGGCTGGGAAGTTTTTTTTAAAAACAGAAAAGCGTGATGGAGGTAACATTTTATTTAATAACTTTAGCAAAATTAAATTAACTTCACTCTTCTTTACCTCTCTATTCCATTTTTAAATAGATAAACTTTTAAACTTAGTTAAAGTCTGATCCTTCTGGCTTTGCTTCATAAGGAGATTAGTGTAGACTTGGATATTTCCTTCTGGAAAACTGTAATAAACTCAGTACCCTTGACTTCTATAATTCCTGTCAGCTCAAACTCCTATCTCTATTCCAAGTAAATAACCGTTACCACTATGTCTGAATAATTACCTATGGCATAGTTACACATCTAACAGATTAACGTAGAGCATGCATATTTAACCTTATTTCTTTATGCTGCATAACTTCCCTGTGATTTTTATTGTGAACCTTTCTTAACTCTTTTTTTGCGTGGATAGAGTATGCATTTTGGCAAAGAATAGAGAATCCACTCTCTTTTTCCTTGCTGCTCCTTGTCCAGTAATATTGGGACAGTGATTTGGCTCAGCTGAATTGAGAATGTGGATTGAATTAACCAAATAGTCTTTGTTGTAGCCTATGCCATATGCAGTAGCTGGTTCTTTGAACTCCAGTGTTGGTTTAATGTATTGAAATGGACGTTTCTCTTATCTTTCCAACCACAGGATTGATCTCAAGTTAAACAAAAAGCCAAGAGCCGTAAGTATCAGTGCTCTGTCGTTGTTTTCATTGCTCATCCATACACTTGAGTGGCTGACTGACTCCTAATCTTAAAAAGCCTGCTTCTGCTGTAATTTAAGTTCTTATTTTCATGTTTGAGGAATATCTTCGTATGAAATAAGCATTGTCTTGTGGAGTTAACAATAAATAAGCCCAGGTAGGCTTGTTATGAAGCTAGGTCACAGTTAGAAGGCCCTGCACTTCTTATGGAAAAAGCTGGTTTGCGTTCTTCTGTCTTGTCATGATCTGGAATATTAAAAGTACCTGGTTTTGGTTGAAGCGTTCCTGAGTTAAGGTTTTGAAGGGTCCTTTCTTTAAAATGTTAAGCGACAAGAAAAAAGTTTCTTTTCTGTTTTGCCTGCAACTAATGGTATGTAGAAATGAGAGAAGACTGAGAATCCCAGCTCTGTAAGCAGAGTTGGAAGTAGAAGGGTGTTAATGTGTCTGTCCTTTCCTTTCTCTGCAGGACTACTAGACTCATCAGTGCTGAAGCTTCCGGGATTTAGGCCTACATGAATCCCTACGGAGAAAAATGCCAGTCGACTGAATGAGCGCGATGGCAGCTCTCTGGCCGAGTGTCTTCAGATGGGAGTGGTTCACTCTAAAGAACTCAGATGGGGGGAGAAATAGTCTTGGACCATGTATTTTGCATCATTTTCAAATCACCTGAGTTGCAGGAAGACTAAGGTGTAGTAGTAGTAATTTGGGTTCCTGAGTATTCTGTGCTTCCAGCTCAGTCGGGAATTTCCTACAATTGGCTGATCTTGCTGCTGACACCCCTGTGGTCTGTAATAACCATGGAGAGATATTTCCTTTTCCACTGGAATTGGGGTATGATTCAGTATGTCCCATCCATGTTGTAAGACTGTTAGGTTACTTTTGATACTGCTATTTAGCTGTGTGGTTTTCGTTTTGTTTTTTTGTTTTATCTGAAGTGTGTAGTTAATAAATTGGCTCTTGGTTTTTTTGTTTTAATCCGTATAGAGAGGAAGGTTCTTCATTTTTGTGGAACAACCCATGTGAATTCCTATTCAAGCAGAGAAAAAGGTGGTTAACCCTTTTCTCTAATTTTGTTTTAAACAGGATTCACTAAAGTTTGTGTAGGGCTTTTAGATACAGGGAAGGCTGAGCTCAAAGCCATCTTGCTCTTTGCTGTCTTTGAGGTTGAGTGGATTCTCTTTTTAATACAAACCTCTGTCATTTGTACATAAACAATAAAAGTTACATGTTTGTCTCTTCTCATGTTTTGTTCGGTCCAAAAATTTGACTCTTAGTGCTTTCACTCTGCTCTTAGTGCTGTTCACCTGCTCTGTGAGGGCTTCTGTGGAAGTCTTCCACTTTCACATAGTAGCTGCTCCTAGTCTGTGTTACGATTCTTTGTGCCTTTGTTCCTCTGGTAGACGTAACACTGAGTACTTGGAAGGATTGCTAGGCACTAATCTCCCACTGTGTTCAACTAATCCTGCTTCAAGGTAGAACTTGGATGTAAGTCAGTTCTTGCTGATCCTGGCAGAATGCCCGTAGATAAGGGATGAGCAGTCTGGATTGCCGCTGCTAAGGTACGCAGAGGGATGAGTGTTGGGTGTTTTTCACAGTAGCCAGGTCAAGATTTCAACGCTGATGTTGAAATAGACTGCACTTTTCTCAAGGTGCTATCTTATCTACATTACTTGGGGTATAATGCCTTTGTGTTTGTTTAAACATTTCCAATGGCAAGAGTACTATGGGAAAAGGTGTATAACCTGCTTTACACCCTCCCCCCGCCAAGTGCTTGCACATGCACTTAGCTGAGTGCTAACTCTGTTCTGTTACACCTCTGCTCTTCTGGTGTTTGGGTTTTTTTGTTGTGTTTTTTTGCTCCTTGCAGCTCAGTAAGATCTGCGTTTGCCTTGGGTAGTAGGGTCTTGACACTCCCCTCCCTCCCGTCCTCCCCTCGCCCATGCAAGCACCTAGCCAGTATAGAATAGTACCTGAGAATGAAGGTAAAGTCATGAGGGAGAAAAGTCTATAGGAGCAAAGCTCTCCCTTGTTCTATTTTCCGGTTCAGGGATCGGGGCAGCTCTATATTCTTTCCAGTTGGAGCTGGCTTATTCTCCAATAAAGCTAGTGGCTGGCGCTCTTGTCCGGGGCTGATGGCGGCTCATCTGCGGGGCAGTGTAGGGATGTAATGCCTTAAGGGGAAATCAGCAAAGCCGCCCAAGTATTTTTGTGTTTTAAGTTACTCCTCGTGAAAGGTTAAATGAGGGGGATGGAAGATCTAGGATACTGTATAAAGTTCTAATAGGGCTTGCTTTTCCGTAGTTCTGGAAAAAAAGAAGTCTTAGCTGATGGTTTGTGACTACTTAGCCTTAGTACAAAACCAGCTTTGCTCACACTACTTCCACTTCTGTTCTGATTGCAGTAGAGCCTGAACTTTTGAGGGTAAAAGTCTTTGCTATACCTGGAGGAAAGCTGCTCTACCTTTTCAGCCAGAAAGCTCACCTGCAGAGTAGCAGCAAAAGGCTCATATAGGGTGGAGTGTTATGTGTGCAATCAGTTTTTTTCCAGCGTATGTGTCGGTCAGCCCTGCTTTCCTTGTGCTACCCGTTGGAGGTGCTGCAAGGACAAGGGCAATTTGCAACCTTTCCTCCCTCACAGCAGTGTCTGTCACTAAAAGAAGGGACCAGCCTGTTCTGATTAGAGCAATGTCTAATGCTACTACTAGCCCTGGGGTGTTAATGCATTGATCGGGGAGAAATCTAAATGGCAAATGCTTTGTTCATAGTTAAAGGAACCCAGTTCTATTAATATGAAGCTTTCCCTTTGCAAGTCTTACAGCCTGGCAGCAGCCTGCTGGCTGCCAAAAGACAAGTGCAATGAAAAGGCCAAGCCCTAGCCACTCCTGCGGGGGCCTCCTCTAGAAGAGGGAAGAGAGTTGCTTGCCCAAAACCAATAACTGTACCCAATTGTTCTGTGGCACCAGCTTCCTTGTGGCACTATTTTAATTAGTGGGGCAGGGCTGTGGGGCTATTGTAGGCAGCGTGCTGGGGTCGCTGTGCAGCTGGGGGACATAAGCACTATCACCTACACAGTTTCAGGAGACAGATTCTGGAAGTCTAATTCTGGCAGTTTTCTCCTAAAACTCCTCCCCCCCCCGCCTTCTTCAACAACATGAGTACCTAAAGTTCCCCAGGGTCTTTGGTGACTGGACCTGGGTAGTGGAGGCACAGGCTTTTAGATGAATGCTAATAAAAGCTAAGACTAGGAGTTGAAATAAATCACAAGTCCTTTGCTTGCAGAAGATACATCCAAAGCCAAGCAAATGAGGGGGTGGCAGAACAGCAACTGTCTTTGCAGTCACTAAAGGTAGAGCAGAACTGCACTAATCCCCTTCGCAGCCTTCACCGAGAGGATTAGGCAGGGGTTTATCGATCCCAACCAAGTGGCCTAGCAGCCACCAAGCACTTGTAAACACTGTGCTGCAGGGGCAGCAGCCTATCCTGGTGTGTCCGGCTTGCTGCACCGCACTGCCGAGCTCGTCCAGCAGCCACCTGCTGGGCGCGC